GGTCAAACGTACCCTTATTACAACAACAGTTCAACAAGGAAATAAGAAATACATAGTCCATAATAAAAGAAAATAAAATAACTAAATCTATCATCAAACTAAAGAAAGGTACGGTAAAAGAGTTTTGGTATCCAACTACTACTACGGAAGAAAATCACTACGCTTCAGTTGGTTCTTCTACTCCTTCTGCAAGACACCCCTGCTAAGAATCTTCTGGCTCCTGTACTATCCCGAACTGAGGCTGCTCATCTCCTAAATCTGACGTACATCCAGAAAATAGGAGTACGTCAGCGTGTGGAACACACGACAAGATCCCCCAAGACAGGAACAATACAATAACAATAATGATAATATATGCGTGGTCAAAGCGATAACAGAAATAAAAATAGAACATGTGATGATAGTAATAACAATAGAGGCGTGTAACTGGAATACTAATAATCGGACGGATCCAAAAATCAACCAAGTGACAGGATCATGCAGGTAGCGATCAGAAAACATCCAAGCAACAAGGTCATACAATAGATGGAATTAATACTTAAAAATCTACAACTCGAGATGTAGTACGTCGAGCGAAATAATCCAAACAAGGAAACCCTCATGTATATACCATATGTCTCGAATTGTAAATAATTAAATAGTAATCCCGATCTATGTATGAAAAGAAACACAACTGATCTACGTCTCACAAGAATCCATAAATCCAAAACAAAATGACAACACCGATTCACCTTGATCCAACAAACCAACCACAGTGGCGACACCGATCCACTGGTAACAAGTCATGTAACTAGCCATCCTATAACAGATCACTGGTTCATATCTCACACAAAGTCAACGCTCATATTATCGGATAACTGACTGTTCACATATCACCTACGTGCATCCCATCGAATAAATTTAGGAATCAAAGTAGCGACACCGATCTACTTTGACCCAACCAATCAGCCCCAGTGGCGACACCGATCCACTATGACTCAACCAATCAGCCCCCAGTGGCGACATCGATCCACTGTGACTTAACAAACTAACCAATCGCAGTGGCGACACTGATCCACTGGTGCAAGCCTGGAAGATATATCAACAGTCACATCCGAGCACATGAACAATGACTTCCCACCCCAACTCTTCTCGTTCTCTCTAAATCAACGATCATAATCCTTATTAACACTCTAGTTCACCACCTAAACTATTCGACACACTCACACATGTCACTAGGTCTGTTCATGACGCACGAGACCACTAAGTCATGAACTACTAAGGTTCTCAACACATCAACGGATCATGAATACAATATGACATGTTAAATAGGATTAAGCAGGTATATGAGACAGAAATGAGAACTATAATAAACATGAAATGCATAAACATTTACTACAATATGAATACATACAAAAGGACTTCATCACTACTTGAATATCCAAACTCCTCATACAAAATATTCGTACTTACGTATTTTCTAGAATAATAATACGGTAGGAAGGAAACTAGAAACTGATATCGTTTGCACATGAAATACCGCGCTCTACGATAATCAGTCGTACTATGATAAATAAATATTCTTTTTCTCAAAATAAAATTCTTTTAATCATAGCAATTATTCAAAAATACTTTTTACTCAAAATAAATTATTTTCACTAAATATATTCCTTTAGAAAAAATATTTCCATCATCATAATAAATACTAATAATACATTTTTGCTTCCAGACAGCCCGAAATTAATCGTAAATCAATTCTGACCTATCTAATCACCACGATTAATTTTTGTACTATAGAATATTCACCGAACATGTAGCCGTTAGCTGCACATATGATACTAAATTAGCACGAACTAAACTGTACATATACAAAATAATTCATACCGTAAAAATGAATTAAAACAAGATAGTGGCAAGAGGGATCTTGCCTACGAGACCAAGGGGTCTGACGACGAACGGCGGGGCCGATGCGGATGCAGTACGACAGATCTGAGCGGTCGAGAGCGCGGTTGGGCGAAGGTCGACAATGGCGACGGGTTGTCAGAGTCGGCGGAACCAAGGGCAGCGGCGAACTTGGTCGGTGTCGGGCCGCGGGTTCACGGATCTCGAGGTTGAGGAGAGAGGAGGAACGTGGGGGTGGTCGAATGAGGAGGGCGCCACGAGGGCGGCAGTGGCTGGATCTCAATGGGGAGGCCGCTAGTGGTGGAGGGCTGCAGGTGGTTGAGGCGGGCGTGGCTGGGCTGCCGGTGGGGGCTGACTGCGTGACGAGCTTGTGGCTCCGGTGGGGGCTGGCGGGGCGGACGAGGCTGGCAGCGGTGGCTCGCCGGAGCTGAAGGCAGCGCGAAGGAGAGAGGGGCTGAGGAGCAGTCGACTGGTGGGACTCGAGCTGGGCCGGCGGTCGAACGGAGGAGGGCAGCGGTGGTGCACGAACGATGCAGCGAGGAGGCGGTCAGGCGGCAGCTGAGTTTCGGGCGCGGGTCGCGAGGTTTGAGAAGGAGGCGGAGGTTAAGAATGGCGGTGAATGGGAGAAGGCCGGAGGTGGTCGACAGGGGAGAAGGGGTGGCGTGCAGCTGAGTTGAGAGGAGAGGGGGTTACTGGGTGGTCGGACTGAGGATCAGTCGGCGGTGGTGGGTTTTCGAGAAGAGAGAAACAGAGAGAGAGACGGCGTGATAAACTGAGGAGAGGAAGATACATATATATAGTATATATATAATATATATATATATATTATATATATATATATATATTATATATATATATATATATATATGTATAATATATAATATATATATATATATATTAATATATATATGAGAGAGAGAGCTAAAACTCTCGTCCAACTTAAGTGGACGTCTCACTAAGTTTCTATCCATTGATGATTCTTGATTGAGGCCTACATTGTGGATGATCGCGTTCGTGTCAACATTGATTCTAGCATATTCTAAAACCCCAAACACGCAAATTTGGTAGTCGAACTACGTTGTGGTTTTGACCCTCCGTCGAGCCATAATAAAAAGTTCTATTCACGTGAAAACGCGTTAAATTGAATACGCAGTGATATGAATGGTCAAACCACAACGAGTCACAGAGAGTCAAATTTGTGTGTTGGGGTTTTAGAATATGTAAGAGTAAGTTGAACGGAAACGGATCATCCACGATGAGCTGCCAATCAAGTGATCCATGCCAATGATAGAAACTAGTGACGTCCACTTAAGTTGACAGAGAGTTTTTGCGTCTCTCTCTCCTCTCCTGCTCCTATATATATATATATATATATATATATAATATAATATATATATATAATATAAAATATTTAGGGTTAGGTAGGGTTGTAAACAAATAATTAAAATAACATTGTACGCGGTATTTAAAATTAAACAATTACAGGATAATTATCTACAAATAAAACGTACATGTGTGCTAATACAACATTGAATACGAATTAGTCGCAAATATTAGAATATTGTATAATTAAACAAGAATAATTAAATAAAAAAATATTTGCTACTTAAATTTAAAATTATATAATTATGGGACAATTACGTACGACAGTAAACGTACTAAGTTATACTAATTCGATAGATAATATGTAACAATAGGAATAATACAATAAATTATACCAAAAACATGTAATTAATAATACCATTTATTATATGAAATAATTTATAATAATATTAATAATACAATATATTATTTAAAATATTACGTAATAGTACTGATAACTCAAAAAATTAATTCTAGAATTTTTTTTACCGCATGAAACAAATTTATAAATATCAAAATCATTTAAATAAATATATAATCAGATTTTTAAATCATAGAAAATTATAGGAAATTAAGAAAAATACAAATACTCTTTTAAAAATAATAATTAAATATTTTAAAATACTAAAAAATTATTTTAATTAATATCAAAATTTCACGATCATTACATCAGCGTTCTGCGAATGATCCATTTTCTCCAACCTAGAATCCGGGTTGGAGAAATCACCCAAAATTTGCATGGAATCAAGAAAATCTCTCCGGAAAGAGAAATCACCCAAATTTTTTTTTGGTGGCACCATGTGCCATCTTGAGCCTGACAAGTGTAGCTATTGACATGTCCTTGAATTGACTAAAAGAGCAGAAGCAAAATCATCATGGCCAATGTTATGCAAAAATAACTTAAACCTTGAGAGCTCCTAGGGCTTTTTTATAGATCTTATTTATACATAAACAATAAGAAAAACACAGTCCCAAATACACTATGTGTGTAAAGAATTCAAAAAACATCACCAAACTCAAAAATCTAGTAACTCTTAGCTTATCATCACCAAACACAAAAAAACTTGGTCTACAGTAATCAATTTAATCCATAAAAGCAATCATGCAAAAGAGAACCCCCCCTCCTCCCTCTTTTTTTTTAGACAACAAAATCAGAATTAACACCCAATGTTTTAAAATTAAGCACCAAACCACTCTTATTCACATGAGATTCATAAATCAATAAGGAATTATGCAAATGCTCCTAATTTTTTGGCACGAAAAAGGAGGGAAGATACTTAAGCCTTCGCCTAACCCAAATCCACGCTGCATTGCAACTCCATCAAGTTCCAAATCACTAATTTACATATTTCAAATTCAAATTCGTGATTCAATGTTACCCTAAGACACTGGAATTTGGGGGGAAAAGCTAGTGAAATTGTCAGAAAAGAGAAATTATAACCAAAAGAGGAGTTTATAATAGCGGGTAGGTGAAATTTATTAGGGGGAGCATTAATGTCATTTAACAGATAAAAAGTTAACTCCGTCACCTTTATTTTAAATGGTAGAAATTTTAGAAAAGCTTACGGACTATTTATACGGTTATGAAAGGTATTTTCGTGCAACTTTGGTAAATCTTAGGGCATTTAAGTTCAATTTACCTTTCGATGAAATGGTCTCTGTTTAAAATGGCCATAAACGGGTAGTCGGGTCAACCCAAGAACGACGCCTACCCATTTAACTTGACCCCCGTGCCTTCTGAAAACGGGCCGGGTAAGGAATTTGCCACCAATGTGTAACTCAGTAGGGATTTAGCTCACCACCCCTCTCCTCAACCCCCGCGGCGTCTCTCTCTCTCTCATCCTAGCCCCAGCCCCACCTCCGGCCTCGTCGGAGGTGATTAGTCGTCGCCGGCTCTTCGACTCCCGCTCCTTCTTCGACGCCGTTTTCTCGATCACACGACCATGTCGGATATCGAGGATTCAGGTGTTCTTTCCTCTCCGTTGATTTTCCTGGCTTTTCTTTTGTGCTATTTTCTTTATTTTTCCCGTACGAGATGAGATAACTTTAGTTGACTGCGGAATTAGATATTGGCAACCCTGCCGGCGGCCAAAGCGTGTCCCTTTCCCGCAAAAAAGCTAAAGAGCATGTCGAGCAGCTGCAAAGGCTTCAAGAAAAGGTGCAATCTTTGTACCCCAAATGTTCTTTTTTAATTCACAGTTTTGGGGTTTTAACTGGTGTAGACATTGTTTCCCCCCCAAATAACCAGCTAAGATATAGACAGCAAAATAGATATACATTGTTTTGTGTAATTTCATAGTACCAGTTTATATTGTTTCCGGTTTAGGCTTATGCAAGTCATCAGCCTTAATTTCTAGATTACTGTTCTAGAAATTTGTAATTTCAGCCTATAAATGAGGCATATTTCCTATTAGTAGTTCCACTAATGCATCGTTGGTGCTCGTGTTCTTCATGAAGGTTATGGTATCTGTTCATAATTTTTTTCTCTGCGGTCCGTTATTTTAATTTGTGACTCTTTACTTTATTCTTCTCTCGTTACAGGATCCGGAGTTCTATCAATATCTGAAAGACCATGATAAGGAGCTTCTGGAGTTCAATGACGAAGACATTGATGTGGGTAGTTTTTATATTAATTTATGATGACTAGTTCTTAATTTTTGAAACTGGTGAATTAACTTGTGTCTCTCTTGAATTGGTTAGGAGGATGAAGAAACGGATTTCGAGGCTGATGAGGAAACTCAACCCGCTGTGGAGTCACAGAAGAAGCCAGAAAAAGCAGTTACAACTGCAATGGTTGATTCCTGGTGCAAAGCAATTAAAGAAGAAAGAAAGCTTGGTGCAATTAGATCTCTGTTGCGGGCCTTTCGTCTGGCATGCCATTGCGGTGATGACAGTGACGTCACATCACCAAAATTTAGTATCGTCTCGAGCAATGTTTTCAATAAAATAATGGTGTTTGTTCTGAATGAAATGGATGGCATTCTCCGTGGTTTGCTTGGTGCTCCAAACACTGGAGGGATGGTGTTTGTTCTGAATGAAATGGATGGCATTCTCCGTGGTTTGCTTGGTGCTCCAAACACTGGAGGGAAAAAGGAAACAATTATGGATCTAACAACCACAAAAACCTGGGCGAAACATGGCACTTTAATGAGGATATATCTTAGCAACACACTTCACATATTGACAGAAATGACCGATGAGCAGATGATCTCGTTCACCTTGAAACGCGTGAAGGCATCAGGTGTATTTTTAGCTGCCTTTCCTACTCTCTTGAGGAAATACATCAAGGTATATGATTATTTTGCATCACACACTATATATAACATGGTGGCTTATAAGTGTGACCTCTAATCTACATTGTTTATACATGTAGGGTAAATTTGTGTTTCAAAGATTAAATGATTTTTTGGTTAATGTTAAATCCAAGCATAATATTTCAGGTAGCACTCCATTCATGGGGCACTGGAAGAGGTGCACTCCCAATTGTGTCATTCCTATTCCTAAGGGACTTGTGTGTTCGACTTGGTTCGGATTGCCTTGATACTTGCCTCAAGGGTATGTACAAGGCTTATGTGATGAATTGTAAATTATCTAAATCTGTAAGTAGATCAAAGCAGCAGCACATTCATTTTCTTGGAAATTGTGTAACTGAACTCTATGGAGTGGACGTACCAAGTGCATATCAACATGCTTTTGTATTCATCCGTCAACTGGCTGTGATATTACGAGGCGCCCTTACTGTAAGAGGGGATAAGGTATCTTCGACCCTCTGGTGGTCTTTTTCCCCTCAAATTTGTGGTTTAAGTTGCATGACCAGCATTTTTTTCCTTTTTTACAACAACTCCTATTTACTTCTGGAAAAGGTAGTTAAAGAGAAGAAAGACAAAAAACAGCGAGATGGAAGCAAGAGCTCCAGGAAGCAACTGGATGTGAGTCAAATAAGCCATTTTCTCATCCTTTATTTATGCTTTTCTTGATTCTATCTCCTTGATATATGTGATTACACCTTCTATTCGTGCTTACATGTATGGCTTTTGCTTCCGAGTTATGATTGGTTAAATAACGTGTTATAGTGCAGTGTGGGAGGAAATTCTGTTTGAAGATACATGTTGGATACTTGGATTAGTTGTACTTTAGATATCAAACACATATGAATTATGTACCTATTCTACCTCCACTTAGAGGCAAAATTGAACCAATATATACTTGGGAATAAAGTATCTCTACCTCTATACTGCAACGGCTTGTTTGATTACAAACTTGATTTACCTTTTAGATGAAGTCAATTATCATAGGCAATCATTTTTGTTGAAGGATGAAGGGCTTTATTCATCAAATTCATATCCATCTAAGACTTCCCCATCAAAATGATTCACCAATGATGCACAACTCATTACTGAGATGTTTACTGGTCAACTTAAGGCCATAGTGAGAGTTCCCTACTCAACCGGAGTAATATGCTTCTGAAACTAAGTAACAGGGAAAAAATAATTACTGCATACTATTTTTGTACAGAGTTGCATCTCCTATTCCATTGATATAAGAATGGTCATCAGACATCAGCTTGATTGAATCCAAGTTGACAGGACTATGTTGTGACCAAATTTGGACAAGTATATTCTAACAGAAGTTGCAGCCTACTAGATACTGATAACATTCAAATAAATCAATTCTGGTAATGATAGTTTCCAATCATTAACCATAATATATGCTTTACCTGGGAACATTTGAAATTATCCTTTGGGGGGGGGATAGGGTATATGCTAATCTATTCCGATATTAATGTCAAATTAAAACTTATGAACAATTATCCTAGCAATTATGATATACAACAAATTATATGCAATGATATATAATTAAAACAAGGGTGATATAAACATGATATAATGACGATATAGAAAGCAATAGGCAATGTGTACAAATAATACGCCAAGGCAAACTCAAACACACAATATGATTACGGAGTTCGGTCACCCTCGACCTACATCTTCACTCCTCACTCACGAGGAGAATCTCCACTATCACAACCGGTTTTCAACGTTCACCGAAAACGTTTACAAGACACGATCGGTTTTCTAGCTCACCGAAAACTTTCATGACTCACACAATTGCAATCACATAATACACCCTCTAAGTGTTGGCCTAGCTCGTGTCGACTTCCTCAAGTGCTCGGATTTACAACATTTCCCTAGACTTTACTACCGACGCCACTCCTTTTGGAATCGATCTCGTCTCTCACCACACATTCCTCTCGGTGTACTTATGTAGTACAAAGTGATCTCACAATAAAAACTCAAATACAATGGGTTGTTCTCTAACAAGGATGAGAACGAAATTTAAGCCTACACTCAAAGATACAATCTCACAACCCCAATATACTATATATGAAAATATTTAAGCTCAAATGGGTGTGTATAATCAATGAGCAATAACAAAACTAAACTCAATATGAACTCTAGCTTAATGAAAATGATAATCAAAAACAAATATATATATAAAGCTAGAAATTGAGTTTAGAGAAAACTTCTCTGAAAACAAGAGTGAAAGGGATGAGAGATTGAAGCTCAAACATGAAATGATGATCTCTTCTTCCTCTTGTGAAAACCTCTTCACATAAACAATTGTAAAACACACTAAAACCAACTTAAACATCCTTAAACCACTTGTAAATTTGTTTTAAACTTTTCTTAGTAAGTTCACAAGTATGAGGGTAAGGCGTATATATAGGTTCAAAAAACAAACCCAAAAACTAAAGAAAAAGAAAAAACAACAAAATCTGAAAACTAGCCGTTACTGTGCAACGACCATATTGTAAGTCGACTTATGACAGGCATGAGTTGACTTATATAGTATAAGTTGACTTGTTATATTTTGAGTTGACTAAGCAGATAAAAAGCATCATCTGTGTAACACTTTATAAGTCGACTTTGTACTGTAGCAAGTCGACTTAAAACATGCATAAGACCTAATATGAACAATAAATATCAATTTTAAACCCTCTTTAAAAATATCAAATAAATTCTAAAAATTATAAAATTTGGGGAATTATTTATAAACATATAAATGAACGTGTTACAAAAGAAATTTTTTAAATATCACTCACTGTTTGTGAAATCTCTACGTTTTGCAAAACTTGTAAATACGTGTGTATATAAAATTCTTGATTTTTGACTTTTGAGTTAAACAATGTTTTGAAATCTTTCAAGATGATATGTATATAAAATTCTTGATTTTTGACTTTTGAGTTAAACAATGTTTTGAAATCTTTCAAGATGATATTATAGACTTAATAAGACTTTTGAGTTAAACAATGTTTTGAAATCTTTCAAGATGATATTATAGACTTAATAAAAGATGTATAAAGAAAAATTTAAGTATATAAACTAATAACTCAATATTTTATCAAAATTACTCAAAAACAAGAATTGTGTGTGTGTGATATTGAGCTTAAAGTATTTACACACAATATAAAAATCCTAAACTAGTATACCAAGTTGATTTGCACATGAAGCTTGATCTTGGATCTTGACTTGACATTTATTTGCTTCATTTACAATATAGTTCGTGAATCATTCAACCTGGGTTAATCAATCAAAACCAAACACTAGAAAACACGTTATAAATTATTGTTAAATCATCAAAACAAGATTAGAGTGTAGGCTTCCTATCATCATTTCCGATCATTAACCATAATATGTGCGTTACCTGGGTTGTAATTAATTTTCAAACTATAATATTTGCTTTACATGGATTGTATATAATTTCAAGCCAAGCTCCAAATCATGAGATAGGATGATTTTGCTCATATGTTTTCAACTATCTATGGGAATAAATTTTCCATGAAATCTCTTTTGGAGCATCTTTATTGTTAACAAAATCCATTATATCTTGAATGCACAACATCAATACAAATAATAACTGATATTTCAACTCTTCGATACTCTTTTTTTTTAAATCTATTCAAATCTCATTTTTATTGTTAATCGAGTCAAGGAGTAGCAATTCAAGAAAATATCTTCACAAATCTTCTTATTTAACCAGTCAACCCTAGAAAATTGCAAAATTGCAGACCTCTTTCATAGTGGTCGACTGGTCGTTATAGGTCAACTGACAATTTCCCATATCTTTTTTGGGTCTATCAGAATACCATCCATGGTTTGAAAAGGTATAACCAAAATTTATGTTTGTTTGGCGTCACATATAGCTGCTTTTTTCAAGCTTGTGAATACAATCCACAAAAGTTCCTCATGCTATGGAAGTTTGTGACATCTGATAAGGACTTTCTGGATATTATTGATATCCTCTACTAATGAAGTTCATAAAACAACATGAGCATGTTCCAACTCAAGATTTTAATAAGAATTCATAACACATATATTGTGTATGGAGTGTCATCTTAAGTTGAATTTCCTTGTTAGCCTTAAGCCAGCTATAATCTAATCTAAGATCTTAGCACCTTGCTACTGATCAAACAAATTTCAATATGAGGCGAGTAATACTTTTGTTAACTTTAGTCATATTCAACTTTTAGCAGTCCATACACAGCTTCGTACTTACATCATTTCTATAGGAATTTGGAGCTACAAAGATAATGCACTAGGCTGAATAAATTCCTTGTCTAACTACACCTGCAACGAGATTGTCAATTCAAGTTCAATGGGTGCTGTCCTATAAGGAACCTTGGATATAGGAACAAGTACAATAGTAGGTATTGGTTCGATAGTGCTGAGTCTCCCTATCTTGTTGGAATCTAGACAATGTTAGGAAATATCATTTCATGCATAATTGATATGTTTATGTATCAAGTCTCACTCCTTTTTTTGGTGTAAAACACATAAGCTGAATATCATGGACATCCATTTCCTAAGGAATCTAAGCTTATATTGCTGGAAGGACTCAGCGCATAAGATGTACTATCATGCTTCTAGCTAAACTTGTGCTGCCTCAGGATATGAAATATGACTAGATCTGAAACAGAAGATTGGTACATGATGTCTTTTAACCAGTGCTTTCCGAGAATCATGTTAATGCCATGCATCTCTAGAAGGATCAAGTCTGCTCAAGGACTGCTGGATCTCTTGTTTTTTAAGCATGTTATAGTTCTTAAAAAACATTAGTCAGTGGTGCCACAGATAATTTGATTTCAAATAACTCAGGTATTTTTACTCATTGTATGTACGAGGAATGTTTACATCCTGAATCAAACATGACCTAGCATAATAAAAGTATATGAAAATTGCACCTCTCATCACTGCATTGGCAATTGAGCATCCTTCTAATTAAAGTATTAAACCCTCCTTCGATTCACACTCGTTTGAGACGGTGACCTACACTACAGTCAATGCAATATTTACTGGTGTGGAACATCATGCTATGAATGCTTACACCATGTATCTGCACCGCTGCTCATATATTAGGTATCTGCATTTATCCTTTTACCACTGAAATCATGGTCTGTGAACTTTGATCTCCGAAATTCTGGTCTTTTAGAGGCCCACCAGCAAAACTACCATTAATTAAACTATCAGGTTTTAGGTTGCGTGTTCCGCTTACCTTGAATTCCTCCATAATTACTTATCAGTACTTTCTCTACTACTTCACATGAGGTCTTCAGTATGGTAGTCATCCTGGTCCGAATCTCTTGGTCAAGCCCTTAAAAGTTTCTTGGTTTTTTGACAGTCAAATGGCAACAACATGGCATGCGAAGAATTTTCCACTGAGCCATTTTCTTACTTTGCTAGACTAATGGTAAAAGCTCTTCTATTTTAATCCTAAGAAAACTAAAGACATCTCTTAGAATCCCTTAAACATGAGAACGGGTCAAACGGGTTTGGGTTTTTATCATTAAACCCAAACCCGATAACAAAAAATAGATCTAAAAAAAAGGGTCATATCGACCGATTTTTCAAAGCTGAAAAATCGGTCGATATGCCCGATATGGCCCCGATATTTCCTATTTGGCCCTGAAAACCGACATACGTGTTGAAAACATACATGTCATGCAAGATTTTAAATGTCAGCTGACATGTCGGTTTGAGGGTTTGAGCGACACGACATAGGTGTTTTCAACTCATACGTCGGTTTTCAGGGTCAAATCGAAAATATTGGGGTCATATCGGGCATATCGGCTTATTTTTTAGCTTTGAAAAATTGGCCGATATGATCATTTTTTAGATCTATTTTTTGTTATTGGGTTTGGATTTAGTGATAAAAACCCAAACCCATTTGACCCGTTCTCATGTTTAAGGGTTTTTTATGAACCCGATAGAAAGAAAAGAGAAAAATTAGGGCTGCAGCGGATTTGGAAACCCATCACTCCTTTCATGAACGACGACGCCCTTCCCTCACCTCCATCTCGGCCCCCGTCGTCCATTTCCCGTTGTGCCCCGAAATTCGAACCCGAGGACGGCAGAGTATCCCGTCGTTGGGATAAAGGGAAGAGGACGGTCGGTGACTCATTCGAAGGACCTCGAGTAAACGAAGAACAAGAAGAAGAGCCCCGACACTACCTCCTTGCGACGTCCCGTCGTCGGCACTGCCATGATATTATACATATGCGCACCACCCGATATGACAATCCGATATTTAGTCCATGTCCCCCGATATATCCATGATTTTCGCTATCCGACATGGATTTCAGCCGTCCGATATGAACCTGACATCCGACATTTAAAACCTTAATGTCGTGTCGTTCAAGCCCTCAAACCGACATGTCGGCCGACATTTAAAACTTTGCATACGAGTAGTTCCAATGCTCTTCCTACCACATGTAATCTTCACCAGTCATCATCAGAATAAGACATCTCTTAGAATCCTTAAAGTATCTCAAAGCATTTCACAATAATCAATTACATAATCAACTATGATGGCACATAACTAAACACACTGCTAGCCCTTACAATCTATTCTCTAGAACTTTCTAATTGCTTTGGATACTAACTAATTTTACTGTCACCCTTGAGCTATCAGCAATGAGCCTAGAATAAGAATAGAGATGGTCAAGCCCCCTAATAAAGAACTGAAAACTACAACTACAAGCCCACAACCTGCTCACTTAAAATGCAATTCTACATAGATCATATGTAATGACATTGGATTCAAATCCAAACTTGCATCATTGCTTTATACTTATATCGATCTACCTAAATCTGGCCTTCATGAAACTTTGGGTTCTGATAATGATGGCTTAGAGAGAGAGAGAAGATAATGTTAGGGGTTATGAAGTTAAAAGTGCTTAAAAGATTGGTTGTAGTAATCTAATTGAAAGATAAATTGGGTAAAGGTCGAAAAATCGATAAGCATTGAAGAAGTTAGGGTTATATGCCTATTATTGAATTATATAATGTCTATTATTGAATTATATAAGCTAAGCTTGTAAGAGCGCTAGTCCATTATCCTTTAACTTATCTGCAGTACAGAGGGGGTAAATGGATAATTTTACTCTGTTTGGTCATGAAATACAAGCTTTTGAAGACTTTATGGTAAATAAAGAGGGGATTTTTTTAAGAAATGGCTGGAATTTAGGGGGTTCAGTAAAATTAACCCTAATTTCTAATGCAAAAGTTTCAGCCTGTTTTATACAATAAGAATTCACGCCCCTAATGAGTAACATGAAGGGTTTCATGTGAAGTTCTCTAAATTTCTCAGATTAGCTCTTGAATTTGTCGACATCTACTATATATTTCCTAAAAAACACATGCACGCACAACCATCACCAGCCAACTATGTTACATGGGTACTTCAATTGGGCAGCTGTACCTGACATGTACCATACCTGTACGAAAACTTAGACACTTCTTGAATGTATGCATATGTTGATTCCGACGTATACTGAATTATATAGTACATGTTTTAATTTAAAGCGCTCATACACTTCTTGGGCGTATATCCTACACATCTATTACATTGATCTTACGTAAATGAAAAAATATTGATCTTATGTGAATTATTAATTTTTATACATATAATATACATAACCTATTTATACATAGCCATGTCCCCGTACCCTACCTTTTACAAATTTGTCATGTCCCGTACCCATACCTATACCGGTGACCGTACCACCCAAGTACCTTACACCACGTTAAGCAGATGAGTAAAGGGAAGTGGAAAAAAAACATTTATAAAAAAAAAGTAAAACGTTTGGCAGTCATTAATCATATACTCAAGGCCTCAAGGTTTTAAATATCGGATGTCGGGTTCATGTCGGATGGCTGAAATCCATGTCGGATAGCGAAAATCGGGGATATATCGGGGGACATTGACTAAATATCGGATTGCAATATCGGATAGTGCGCATATATATAAAATCATGTCCTAAATGTAATCTAAGCATTTATAAATTCAATATAAACATATTTTATAAATTCTATAGACTAAACATATAAAAAAGTAAATAATATATGGATTTGGGTTCATAAATTCTTTCTATCGAGTTTATAAGAAACCCTTAAACATGAGAACGGATCAAACGAGTTTGGATATTTATCACTAAACCCAAACCCGATAACAAAAAATAGATCTTAAAGAAAAGTACCATATCGGTCGATTTTTCAAACCTAAAAAATAGGTCGATATGCCTGATATGACCCTGGTATTTCCGATTTGGCCATGAAAACCGATATACGAGTTGAAAACGTCCATGTCGTGTCGGTCAAGCCCTCAAACCGATATGTCGGTCGATTTCTTTATATCAAAGTACTAGGAAACTCTTTTTGATGGATCTTTCCAGACCATATTCTTCTGTGAGTATTTACTATTTAGAGCTCTATGTGCCACCATCTTACCTGTAGAAGTAGTTCTACATTTTTTATTGAGAGTTTAGCAAAATCATATCTGGAGGAGCCAGCATAGTGATTGTTGAAGTTGGCACAAGTTTCAAAGGATCATATGTTTCTACATTTCTTATAAAAATCTAGCAAATAACATTATTCAATAATTTGTGCATATAAAGCGAACTGTTATTGGTAATACTAGTATTGGTGCTAGTAATTTAGTCTTTTGGCTGGTCAGTTGTTAAATATTTTGCTTCAATCTTTCATAGTCTAAATTCGGGAGACGATATTTATGATATATTTATCTTTTATTCTCTTTCTTCCCCCAGAAAGCATATCAGAAGGTTTATGATTGGCAATTCATCAGTTGTCTTGAACTATGGACTGGAGTTATTTGTGCCTATAACTCAGAAGCTGAGTTCGGGCCTTTAGCATACCCACTTGCTCAAATAATTTCTGGTGTAGCATCTCTGGTTCCCACGGCTCGATACATCCCTCTCAGGCTTCGATGCATGAAAATGCTCAACCGCCTAGCCGGAGCCACTGGTACCTATATTCCTGTGTCTTCACACCTTCTTGATATGTTGGAAATGAAAGAGTTGCATAAACGCTCCACTGGGGGTGTTGGTAAAGCAGTCAATTTGCTTAGTGTTAAACAGGTGAGCTTCGTCAATTTGTTCAAGGGTAAATTTCACGTAAAACTTCAGTACTTGGGGGTCTTTGCATATAAAACCCCTTGACTTTCTTTCTTCCAACTAACCCTCGTATGTTGTAAACACACTGAAGTTCAGTGGGGATTAAGTGAAATTTACCCTTTGTTATAAGCTGACTTCATTATCTATGGTAACTAATGTGTGAGTTCTATGGCAGGTTGACAAGACAACACTAAAAACGCGCGCCTTTCAGGAGGAATGTACATATTATTTGGTTGAAGAACTCGCTGAACATTTGGCTCAGTGGAGCTATTCTCCTGCCTTCTTTGAGCTGTCATTTATTCCACTTGTTAGGCTTCGAAGCTTTTGCAAGTCCACAGATGTTGATAGGTCTAGGAGGGAAATAAAAGAGCTTATACGCCAGGTATTATCTATGAGAGACACTGTTGTTCTAGTAATCAATATTTTTAAGCTCGTTTGCGTTCATATTAGATTGTTCTGCACTTTTTCCACAGGTTGAGGCCAATTCAGAATTTACTAATTCCAAGCGTGCAACTGCTGATATCTCACCAGATTTAATAGCTATTGAATCCTTTCTTAAGGTATGATAAGTCCAACTTGTTTCTTTGCTTTTCCTGTTTTATGTGTGTATATGTTTTGTACGTGTGTGTTTGACCATATTATGATGATACATGATTTTGCTATAGGCTGAAAAGGAGACCGGGTCCAGCCCTCTTTCCCAATTTGCTGATCAATTACGCCTGAGAGCTCAACAGAGGATTGACGCAATGGTGGAATCTAGGTTTGCCTTGTAGCTATATGTGATAAGTGAAAGATGTTTCTCTCTTCCTTTTCCAGTTGAAGGATTTTTTATTGCTTACTATTGGACTGTCCTTTAATATGTTAGTTTGCTTACATTTTTCACTCGACTTCTGATGTATGCTTATTTATCTATTTCCTTTCCCATTGACAGTGTTATTGTGGGAGCAGAATCTTCTATATTTAGCAGCAAATTATCTGAAATTGAGGAGGATGAAGAACATGAAGGAGATGAGGAAGAAGCAAATAATGTCTTTAGCTCATCCTGGTTGCCTGAAAAGAAATCCAAGTATAATTCTACCTACTGCTAAACTGTTTATCTTCCTCCGGTGCTTTATTATTTTGTGTATGGTTATTGATGTACATTATATGCAGGGTTCCGAAGGAAAAGCCTAAAGAATCAAAGAAGCGCAGCCATGAAGAGTACGAGGTAGAGGGTGATGAAGATCTGGTTGAGGACCTGGTCTTGAGTTCAGATGAGGAGGAGGATGATGACAAGTCCAAAGTCGACTCTGCTTCTGAAGATGAAGATCATCCCTCACTGCAACTGTCAAATAAGAAACGAAAGCCCGACAACTCTTCTAAACAGAATATTAGGAATGGGAGGCCAGTAACGAATTCCTCCAAAAAGAGGCGTCCTCGTCCTAAGAAGGCAAGCAAAGGTTCAAAATAATAACATGTGCAAAGTTTCGAGGAAGGAAATTTTGAGTTTTAATATGGGGTATGTTTATTGAATGTCTTGGTCTTAATGCTTTGTTTTTTGATCCATTTTTCATTTGTTAGTTCTTGGTAATTTATATGATGAGTGTAATTTTGTTTTTTGATCTTGTGAATCAAGGAGAGCAAGAAAGGTTTTAGCTTAGAATTTTTGGCACTAAAAATGTTAATTCTTTTCTTTCTTTATTGTTGTTACGATGTATTATTTTAGCAAGGGATACTCGGTCTTCATTCTGAGGAGCTATTTTGTTTCCTAAGTTAAGCTGTGCCACATTTCCCTTCCTTTTATTTTGTTTAATTTCTTTAACACTTTTTTTTTGGTCTGAAGTGAGAAAATGTGAACCTCAAAGTGAACCGTGACATGTTTCTAAAATGAAAAGTATGAAATGCACTAAAAACTCGCAATGTGTGGCTGATGTTCATGATAAAGGGATTAAGGGTAAGAGTTAACATAGTTATCTCATTTATTAATCTGAATGGTGATGTTGTTAACCCATCAAATAAGATTTAATGTAAAACTTGTGATCATTTTTAGTATTTGGCAACGGTGAGAGCTATGACCACTTTCTTTCCAAATAGGAAGGTTATTTCCTATCATGTTAGTAGTGTTATTAGTAGAGTTATTAGCAGGCCCCTCACTTTGAGGGTTTACCTAATTTTAATCTCTTTAAAAGTTTTATCTTAATTCTTTTACATTTTTTTGTTTGGTAAATTATAGGATTAACTCACTTTATTTAGTGTGTAGATTTTTTGCATTTAGCAGTTTAAAGAGGATTTAACTCTCATTAACTCACTTAAACTGAACTCCCTCAAAAAAACCCTCACTTAAACCCAAATTGATATCGCAATATTGAAAAGAGTTTTTTCCATTGAAACCACCTTAATTTTACTTCAAATTGTAACTTACCATCTTTTTTTTATGAAAACCACCAACATTTGCTTACATCTTCTTAAGGTCACACTTTTTAGTTTTTTTTTAATATCTAAAGTCACTATTATACTCAGTATAATTCAAGAAGGAAAAAAAATAGGAGAAGATGAGAGGAAGTGGAGGGGGAGGAAGGTTGGCAGTTTGGGTGGTAGAAGAGGAGGGGAGGAGGTGGAGAGAGAGGAGGGGAAAGGAAGAAGAAGGAGAGGTAGGACTTAAGAATGGAGAGGATGAGGGAAAGAGGAACGGGTGGTGGGAGAACGGGAGGAGGATAGGGGTCAGAGTTTGAAGCCCTTAAAAGTGAAGGAGATGGTGGAGGAAGTGGAGAAGGTCGGAGGGGGAGAGGAGAGGGAAGGGAGGAGGTATTGGTTGATGAGGAGAAGAGAAAGAATTAGTGTTTGGAGACACCCTAGAGTGGAGGAGATGGTGCGGGAGGAAGAAGAGGAGATTGAGAGGAGAGGGAAAGGGAGGTGGTGGAGGAGGAAGAGGGGCCGGGGGGGCGGGGGGGCGAAGGAGGGCTAAATGGGATTTTTTTGACAAATTTTTCAAACCGAACCTTTTTTGTTTTTATTTGCAAAAACCGGCGACCCTACTTTTGAAAATAATTAGGCAAAAACGCGACCTGTTTCAGGCCAGCCGCTAAAAAAGGTTCGGTTTTTGTAAAAAGATCTTTTTTTTTCTTTCGCAAACATCACGGGAGTTCAACTCCTTGAAGCTTTAGTCGAGAATTAAAACTTCACGCGGAGTAACCACTTGCACAGGAGTTGCAACTCCCGTGCAAGTTTAATTTTCTTGTTAAACTACCACGGGAGCTTCAACTCCCGTGGAGTTACATCAAAACATTCCCAGAGAACGATCTCTGAAAAATTGGACGTAACTTCAGCGGGAGTTGAACTCCCGTGAAGTTACAGTTCCCAATTTCCCAGAGATCGGTCTCTGGGAAATGTTTGACTGTAACCTGCGCACGGGAGTTGAACTCCGTGCGAGTTTGCCACCCCCTTATAACTGCGGGCTGCCCGCGCTTCGACCCAGCCCAAAACCCTATTCTTCACCTTCTATCCGCAATTGCCGCCTGCCGTTCACAGTGTCGTCGTGCCACGCAGCGCACCGAAGCTACCCGCCGCCCCAGCCTCCGACCCCCGCCAGTGCCCCAGATCCCGACTGCCGCCGCCGCCTCCGACCGCCGCCTCCCTTCTCAGTCAGATTTTCAAAAAAAAAAGGTAAATTCTTTCTAAAAAAGCTATACCCTCTAATTTTTGTATTCTCCCACTATTTGATTGTGATTACATGTAGAAATCTAGATTTTAGAAATTAATTGTGAATTGTTTACGAATTTTGTGAAGAAATGTGAAAATTAGATTGGAAATTATCAATAAATGTGAAAATTAAAGGGAAAATTATCAATAAATGTGAAAATTAGAAGGAAAATTATCAATAATTTTGTGATATTTGTGAAGAATTAGTGTGTAAATTATCAATAATTTTGTCAAATTAGAGAAAAAATTATCAATAATTTCGAAAATTATTGTATTTAGAGTTTAGAATTTAATTGTGAATTATTTAGATTTTGTGAAGAAAAATTAGATTTTAGATTTTTGCATATGTATGATATAAATTAGATTTTAGAATTTAATTGTGAATTATTTACGAATTTTGTGAAGACGTATTAAATAATTTTGCGTATTTAGAGGTGAAATTATCAATTAATGTGGAAATCAGAGTTACTACCTAAATGTAAAAATTAGTAACAATCAATATTTATTTGGCTTTTCGTGTAATATTGATCTTGAATTTTTCACTCTTCAGAGGTAACGATGAATGATCGAATTGTAATTCTCTGTTCTTATGATGGGAAGATTAATTACCTCGAGAATAATATGCCCGTTTATGAAGGAGGCACGACGAGACCGTTGTTCATAACAAAATCGTGTACTTTCGATGAGTTGGTTAATGAATTACACAAACTTACATTAACTAACTCACGTGAGTATCACCTCAGTGTGGTTTGTAATTATCCTGTTGTGGGGAACAGAACAAGTGGCATTCAAATATCAAGTGACTACGATATGGGTCTCATTCATGTCTTACATGACGAGAAGCGTTCGGTCGAATTGTTCATTGAAAAACATCAGAGAGATTTGGGCAAATCGTTGAACTACGAAGGAATGTATTCCCGCATGTTGGAGGATCCTGAAGTTGATTCTGTAGGCTTTTTATCTCCTCAACAAGATGAATGTTGGACACAATCACAATACATGAGCGGTCCTTCGTTCGTGGGCACTTTGAATGCTTTCGATACTAACACGGGAATTCAAGAAGATAATGCAAGTGTTGAATCTGAGAATGATGATGAAGAGGAGGGATTACAAATTAATAGCATGACCTTGATAGATCGTGATGACGGGGAAAACCAACACATCAACGGATGTTATGTTAATATGAGTATGTCGGCTTAGAGGATCCGCCGCCCGATGAACTTCAAGGAGATGAATAGATTGATAACTCCGCGATGGAAAGTGTTCCTATTGGCACTAATAGCGGTGTTGATACACAGGCCGAGGACTTCTCATTCATGAAGGGAGATCTTTACGAGAGTAAGGAGAAATTGATCCATGCTATTCGCACGTATTCCATTGCAAAAAATGTGAAGTTCAGGCCAACCAAAAATAATACTACAAGCTATAATGTGGTTTGTTTCTATCGCAAAGATGACGATGTCGAAGATAATAGTGGACACCACGACGGCAATGCGAGGTGTCCGTGGAAGCTTAATTCACGCTCGGGTTCAAGAGTAGGTGGGCAATTCAAAATCACGGCATACAATGGACTCCACACTTGTAGCAATCCTCGATTAGAGATGAATAACAAGAATGCGTCCTCTTCTTTTATATATCGATTGATTTTACCGCATCTGAGGGAGGATCTTGATCTAAGGCCGAAAGATATCCGTCTTTTAGTGCATAAAGCCACCAACTTGGATGTATCATATCACAAGTGTTGGAATGCTAGGAGGAAGGCGATGATAAAAATATTCGGGGATTGGGATAATTCGTATGAGATCTTACCTCATTATCTTGAAACACTCAAAAGAGAAAATCCGGGGACTGTCTACGAAGTATCTTCGGACCTCGTTGATGGTGGAGAATGGCGGTTCACCGGTGTATTTTGGGCATTTAGGCCCTGTATTGAGGGGTTTCGATATTGCCGTCCTCTTCTTAGCATTGATGGAACTCACTTATATGGTAAATACAAAGGCGTTTTGCTTGTTGCAACCGGAGTTGACGCGGATGGCAGGTTGTTTCCTTTAGCATTCGCAGTGGTTGATGTTGAAAACACAGAGAATTGGGCTTGGTTTTTTTACATGCATTAGATATCATATCCCTAGTGTGGGGACGCGACCGATTACATTCATATCCGATAGGATGAAAGGAATCCCAAGAGCACTCCAACGACATTTCCCGCCACCACATGCACATCGCTATTGCTTGCGACATATTAGAGACAACTTCAAGAAGAAGTATGGAAATGCTCAGGTTCAAGACTTACTTTAGCAAGCCGGTTGTGCAACAGAAAAATATGTTTATGAACAAATACGAGAGAGGATCAAGTTCATTTCACGAGCTACACATGATTGGATCGAAACTAGTTTGGGTCCAAATAATGTTGATAAGTGGGCTTTATGTGAGGATGACGGCAAACGGTTCTGTATGATGACTACGAACGCGTCTGAGAGCTTCAATGGTGCGCTCAGGCGAGCACGCGGCATGCCAATACAGGCACTAGTTGCTAAAACTTTTTACAGGCTTAATAAATTCTTTCTTCTACGTCGAGATCTTGGTGAAAATATCCGCTCAGAGCTAATACCGAAGGTTGATGAAATGCTAGCGGCTCGGATTGTACAAGCTCGGTCCTTTCAGGTTGTACGATACAGTTTTAATGAATGGGAGGTGCTCGAGGGAACAACCCATAGAGAAAATCGCTCTTACAAAGTCAATATGTTGGTGGATCACACTTGTACGTGCACTTGCAATGTACCGCAACTACAATGGATTCCTTCTTCACATGTTGTAGCAGCTTGCTCCGACCTACAGGGTGGTGCTCACATTTCACATTATGAATTTGTCGCGGCTTGGTATTCTGCATACAACTATCAATAAATGTACAAAGAGTGTTTTCGTCCACCATACGATAGTCGACATTGGACACAAGATGGGCCACAGATATTACCTCCATTGTATAAAAGATCGGCGGGGCGCCCTCGTTCCATGCGTATTAGAAATAGTATGGATGACGGATGTGAAGGAGC